CTGCTTCAGAGTGAAGACGAAAAGGACCAGGAGGACCAGGAGGAGGACCAGCAGGAACAGGAGGACCAGCAGGAGGAGGCAGCGGACCAGGCGGAGGACCAGGAGGAGGACCAGGAGGAACAGGAGGAGGACCAGGAGGAAGCAGGGTTACAGAGATGAACCAAGACAGAAAAGAGAAGAAGAATTAGTACCAAGAAACGCCACATTTATTTATAGACTGTTTAATTTCATTATTTAAAAAAGGAAATGATTCTGAATGGGCGGGGTGTGTTTGTGTGTGTGTGTGTGTGTGTGTGTGTGTGTGTGTGTGTCTGTAGTTAGAGACGGTACATGAGTCCCCCCCCCCCCCCCCCCGATCCTTTGTTTGTGTTGTTGTTATAGTCACCCCCCCCCCCCCCCCCCCAGGACTGATCCAGGTCTCATTGATCTCTTCTGGTCTGCTGCACGTTCACACAGACTCGTTGGTAATTAAGTCTGTCGACGCGTCGAACGATTTGCATTTAACCCAGATTTGAGGAGCGACGAGGAGGACAAGCAGCAATGAGGAAGTGAAGCCATCTTATCTTCTTCCTCACTCCTTCATCCTTATTCCTCACTTCTTCATTCTCACTCCTTCATCCTCACTCCTTCATCCTTATTCCTCACTCCTTCACCTTTACTCCTTCCTCTTCACTCCTTCATCCTTATTTCCTCCTCACTCTTTCCTCCTCACTCCTTCCTCCTCACTCTTTCCTCCTCACTCCTTCCTCCTCACTCCTTCCTCTTTACTCCTTCATCCTCACTCCATCCTCCTCTCCTTCATCCTCACTCCTTCCTCCTCACTCCTACTTATCATGTGTCTTGGACTTTTGTTGCCATGGTTTCAAACAGGAATTGGAATCATGTTGTTTTATTTCGCTTTTCATATCTCAAACTAAAAGCTCTAAAACAGTTTTCATAAGTTATTAAAGAGTTAATGATCATTGTTGTTTTTTGATCCTGGTTTCTCTTTAGTTCAGACTCAGAGAGAAACAAAACCCCCATCAGGGTCCAGTTACCCATCATCCTCAAACAAACATGGCCGACAGCTTGAAGTGTAACTCTGCTGAAGCTCTGTTAGCCAACGGGACAGAAGTGTGGGACAAAGACGCTGCTCCCCCCCGACCTCACAGCCATCATCACCCCGGAGGCAACTTCCACTGGGTCACCTCGATGTGCCCCAGAAGGGGGGAGGAGGGCGGTAGAGGGGCACTTTCTTTTCCCAGACTCATTAAAGGTCTGGACCTTTGAAGGGGAGGGGGGACTTACCACACTACCTGCTACAGTTTAGCACTAAAGTTTATTCAAAGTTATTAGCTTAAAGTTCCACATTAGGTTAACTGTCTTTAGAATTCTATTTTAATTTCATTTACTTTAATTTTTATTTAAAAATATATATATTTATTTAACCCAGTTAATCACGCATGTAGCATTATTATTATTATTTTTGTGCTCAGTGTTAGCATGAAGTTATCTTGAATACAAACTAGCACATGCTCAAGTGTTAGCACGGAGGCTGCCATGACTCAGCATGAGGTCGCTCACACCTTGTCCTAACATGGCGAGCGAGCATAATTGACAAAATCAGCTTGTTTCAATCCTTTTCTATTGGATTGTCCTAACTGCCCGCGAGGTACGCCGAGCAACACTCAAGTTTTTTCACAACATTTCAAATGTGCTCTATGTCGCTCTCGTAGACAGACGAGGAACCATGAAGAGGGGGGCTCTCTCTCTCCTCCCTCAGCAGAGCTCCTTAGCTCGTTAGCTTGTTTTACAAAGTGCAGATAGTAGTGCATTAATAATATCCACATCATGATTGAAATGTTGACCTTTGACCTGTGTCAACACCTGAGAAAAACTTTATTCAGACCATGGCGAGCCGTTTATTGACAAACTTCTGAGTGTTGAGATTTGAATCAACGCTCTTGTGATGTTCCAACACACTGTAAGATGTAACATTTTACCTCAAACTTACAATCAGTTCTAATAGTGATGAGCTAAACAGTTAGCTTGAGGTAGCAGTCAGTGACGTACTGGGAACACTGGGATTATTCTAGATGAGCCAGTGCAGGTTAAAGTGTCAGCACATACTGTAGAAGCTGGATGATGATGATGATGACGACACTGATTGGTTGTTTGATTTCGACCTGAAAGTGTTTTAAAAACCTATAAAATGAAGCAGAGTGCTGACAGACTCACATGGATGTAGAGGAACATTCAGTCTCATATTATCAGTGACATGATAAGCATGTTAAATGTAAAGAAATGTAAAGGAAATCATGTCACAAACAGCAACTTTAACGTTAAAGAGTTTCCTGTTGTTCTGAGTCTGAGCTGCTTTAGCTCTGTGTAGTGTGTTAGCGCTTTGTAGCGTGTTAACGCTGTTGAGCTAGTTAGCTCTGTGTAGCATTTTAGCTCTGTTTAGCGTGTTAGCTGGGTAACAGGAACATGTAAAGATGTTTAACCTCCATGTTTGACCCCGACTGACCCCATTCTTCAGAGCGAGTCATCGATCGACCCGGATACCTCCTGTCACATCATCATCATCATCATCTCTGCTTCATTCTGTGTGAACTGATCCAGACTGTGACAGTATTCATCTGTGTCACATCGATCTCACACACACACACACACACACACACACACACACACACACACACACACACACACACACACACACACACACACACACACACACACACACACACACACACACACACACACACACATTGACCTCCATTCACTGCTCCCTCTGATTGGACACAAAGCCGTCCTTTCAGGTTCATCTCGTCTGATGTAATAAAATTGACACATGGAGTCGCCTGTTACCTAAACTGAGCGCGCTCAGAGCTCTGTCGCCTCCACTCTCTGCAAATGAATCAATTACAGAGCAGGATAATCCTGTTAGGAAGGGGGTTGAATGCATACCTCCCTGTTGGCAGGTGCTGCAGGCAGAGGGGGGGCGGGAGTGGGGCTCTGTGCCGCTCGCCGTCTGAGGCGACACAATAAAAGTCCATTCAGGAGGAACAAAACCTGAGCACGTCTCTGTAGATTTACAGCCAGAGCAGGATTTAATCATTTCATCCAGAAATCAAAGAGAGATTTATCTCTATCCTAATCCAACATCTCCACTCTGACACCACCAACCAACACCAAACACCCCCAACACCACCAACACCAAACACCACCAACACCACCAACATCAAACACCACCAACACCACCAACATGTAACAACACCAAACACCACCAACACCAAACACCACCAACACTACCAACACCAAACACCACCAACACCACCAACATCACCAACACCAAACACCACCAACACCACCAACATCAAACACCACCCACACCACCAACATCTAACACCACCACCAACACCAAACACCACCACCAACACCACCAACAACAAACACCACTAACAACACCAACACAAAATATCATCAACACCATCAACACCAAACACCACCAACATCAAAACAACAAAAAACAAACACAACCAAACACCACCAAAACCACCAACACCAAACACCACCATCACATCACCACCAAAGACCAAACAACACCAAACACCATCAACATCAAAACAACAACAAACACCACTAACCACCAAACACCATCAACATCAAACACCAACAAACACCACCAAACAACACCAAACACCAACAAACAAGACCAAACACCACCAACAACAAACACCACCAACACCACCAACACCAAACACCACCATCACCACCAAAGACCAAACAACACCAAACACCATTAACATCAAAACTACAACAAACTAACCACCAAAGACCAACAAACACCACCAACACCAACAAACACCAACAAACACCACCAACACCAACAAACACCAACAAACACCACCATACACCACTAAACACCAAAAACCAAACACCACACACCATGCACCAAACACCAACAAACAGCAACACCAAACACCACCAACACCACCAACACCAAACACCAAAAATCACCAACACCACCAAACACCAACAAACAACACCAAACACCACCAACACCACCAAACACCACTTAAAAGACAACAGCTCCTAATATACACAGTAAATAATAATGATTAAAGTTTATTGTTATTACAGGCGGCCATGTGTGAGTGGTAAATGGACTAGAGCTTGTATAGCACTTTTACACCGCAGATCACACCTACACATTCACACACTGATGGCAGCTGTTGCTATGTAAAGTGACCATCAGAAGTAACTAATCCTATTCATAAACCACCAATGAAGCAACAGGGGCAAATGTTTTGCACACAAGCACACATCGGAACATGTGGCAGCAGGATCTGGGGATCGAACCCCCAACCTCCCGGTGGAGAGACAACCGACCGCCCCTGTGTGACTGCAGATGTTACACAGATGTCAGAATAAACTCTGTGTCTGTTCACTGATGAGTTATTAATGAAATATCCACATCAGCAGTATGTGATACTCTGATAAAGTGTAAGGACGAGCCGCATGTTGAACTGAGCTGTATCATCAGGTAGGACTGTTACTGTTTAAGGCCACACACGAGGGGGGGGGGCTGTGGGAACCAACAATCCTCCTCATTGTTTCGGCGGTGATGCTCCTGGGCACGCTCAGTCTGACACATTCACAAGGTCCAACGTGTCTGGTGGCGGTGGGCGACATTCTGAAGCACCTTGTCAAAAAAACGTTGCAGCGCGGCGAGGAGCGGCCTGGGGGCAATGACAGGGGGAGGAGGGGTCAGAGACAACAAGATGGAAGGAGGGAAAGGGAGTGAGTGGGACGAAGAGAGAAAGAGAGGAGGAAGGGGGGAACAACTAAAGCCCCTGATTCACCCTCACTCCCGCCTCCCCTTCTTCTCCACGCCATCGGCCCCGGCTCACCCAGACCATTGTGAACCCGGGGGGAGGGAGGGGGTGGTGGAGGTGGTGGTGGTGGGGGGTCAGGAGATAAATGGCTGCATGTTAACCACGTTTGACAGGCCGCACAAAAGAGGACACCTCGGGTCCCATGACGCAACCTGTACATCCCCCCGCCAAGCTCACCACTATCCCCCCAACATCCCCACAGAGGTACACCCTCATTACCATCATCCTCCTTATAGTCAAGTAAAAACACAGAGGAGTGGAGCATCCATCTCAGAAAACCATCTTTGATTTCACAGAG